TTTGGGTTTTTTGGGGTTTTTTAAGGTTTCTTGAAAGACAAAAACAAACCGCCCTCTCGCAGGCGAGGGCACACGCGTCCCTTCTCCTCGCAGCCGCTGCGAAGTGGGACACAGACCTTCCTCCATGGGACTTTTTTTTTTTTTTTTCTTTTTGGAGAGGGGCACATTTCAAATTAAACCCACGATTACATCCCAAGACATTTAATCAGCTGTAATTATAACACATTCAAAATGAAGAATATGCCTTGACAGTATTTTTATTGTTATTGTTCATCGCATGATGTTAGACAGCTTCAGAGGCACAGGAAAGAGAAGTAAACGGGTTACAAATAGGGAATTATCCCTCGTTTAGCATTAAAATTCATTTAGATAAAATTGCCACAAACATTTAAATGGGAAGATTAGTTCCCCCTCACGCCTTATTGCACTCTCTCAATGGCTCCGTTAAGAACATTTTACACGTTGGAAATTCCGCCTTTTCGGGCCGCTCGCTGTTTCCTAGCTACCCTCCTTTCACCGCGCCGGGGGGGCCCGCAGGGGCCCGGCCGGGGCCGCGCCTCCGCCGCTCCCCGGCCCCGGGGCTGCGCGTCCCGCGGGGCTGCGCGGCGGAGAGCGGAGCGCGGAGCGCGGAGCGGCGCGCAGCCCCGCCGTCCTGCCGCTGCCCGCAGGAGCAGGAGCAGGAGCAGGAGCAGGAGGAGGAGGAGGAGGAGGAGGAGGAGGAGGAGGAGGAGGAGGAGGAGGAAAGCCGTCTTCGACTGCCATCTCTTGGGGGCTCGGGAGAGTGACGCGGGGGGGAATGCGGGGGCTTCGGGGCCGCCCGCGGACATTGCGCGCTGCCACGCTAAAGTTTGCGCAGCCTTCAGCGACGCTCTGGTTTGTTGATTTTGGTGGGTTTTTTTGCTTTTTTTTTTTCCTTTTTTTTTTATTTGCCCCGATTTGCCGCGTCCCCCTTTTTATTTTTACGCCTCCCCGCGGAGCCGGGGCCGCGCAAGGCGAGCGCAGCGCTCTTCCCTTTCCCACAGGCTTGAGAAGCGCCAGGCTCCTCAGCGCGGAATTGGAGCGGAGCCTGCCCTGCATCTGAGCTGGGCACCTCATCCCCAAGCGGGATATTTCTTTTTTTGTGGGGGGGGACAGCAAATTCCAGCCAAGCTGAGCGGGGCAGACCGAGCGCCCCTCCAGGCAGAGGGACTGGCGTGGGGGATGCCTGCCCTGCCGGCTCGGCCGTGCCACCCGCAGCCACAGGTATTTTTGGGCTCAGGAGCGGCACTTTTCGGCCGCGCCGTGAATGTTTCCACCCTTGGCGCTGTTGCGCGTAAAGTTCTCGCTTTACTGGGGCCTCGCTCCGCGCGTCCTAAACCTGCGTGGAAAACAGGAAAGCTTTTTTTTATCCTCCCCTGACCTTGCTACGCCGCCCGTGATGATAACGTATATATATATATTTATATTTATTTTCATGTATAAAATCGGGCGGACGCTTCCAGCGGACCGGAGGGAGGCGGCTGTCCCCGGCCGCAGGCAGGGACGAGCGGGGCGCGGAGAGGCGCGGGGGGATCGCGCCTGGAGTGGGAGATCCCGGTGCCTCCTGGAGGTGGCTGCTCAGCTCCCGGGCCGGGCTGGTGCTTTGTGTGTGACAGCCAGCAAGCCTTCCCCGTCCCTTTAATGCGTGTGGAAATACCCGCATGCCTGTGTGGCAGCTGCTTCCAAAGCCCCAACTAACTCTTTTGGAAGAGCAGGGCGAAAAGAGTGAAAGGAGAAAGAAAGACTGTTCATTTTTTTCCTTTGGTGCCATTTTGGATGTCATCTGTTACCTTGGTGACTGTGCTCAGCCCCCAAAGCCCCTGGATTGTTTGGGAGGAAAAAAAAAAAAAAAAAAAAAAAAAAAAAAAAAGCATGCTATTTCTGCACCGTCATTTATCACTGTCACCGCATAATGATTCCCCTCGCAGCTCCTTATTGATGTTTGTAATTGCATTATCTCATAAAGGGAGGGGGTGGCGGGCCGGGATGATCAATGGAGCCGCGCCGTGCATGCCGGGGTCAGGGGCTGCGGGAGGCGGCGGGGCCCCCCCGGACCCTCCCGGCCCCGGAGCCCCCCGGAGCCCCCCGGCCCCGCTCCCCGCCTGGCAGACAACAAGTCCCGGGCAGCCCCGGCAGCCGGTGTGCAGAGCCAGTGCAGCTCCCGGCGGGGCCGTCCTGCTGGGACCCCCCAATCCGGGGAGAGGAAGTGGAGGGAAAAAAAAAAATAGGGCTATAGCAAGGGGAAAAAAATAAAATTAAAGTGGGTATAATGTGATTTGGCTGAGAAGAAAAAAGAAAAATGGGTGAATTCTAGCCCCAAATCCCGAAACCCGCGCGGAGGATGCGGGGCGGGGGTGCTGCCGTGCGGCTCTCGGGGCCCCTCGGCCGCGGGGGATGCGCGGGGCCCCGCGGCGCGGAGGAAAGGTCCGGCGGCGGGGAGCGGGGAGCAGGACGGCCC